GCACAATAATCAAGATACAGACTGGAACTGTATATGTGAAAGGAATAAAAGATTATTAAAGACCATTAATTCTACTGCAATGATTTTTCCTTTTTGGTCATTACTCCTGGACATATTTATTACTTTTTAAAGGCCAAGAATGTTTTGCCAGATACTTCTTGCTTGTTGAAAGAAACATCAAATTAAAAAAGTATTGAGAGTACATACAAACATGGCACAAAAGGGGAAAATCAGAAGTACCTTGGGTATTCTAGGTAGTGTTTTCCCACCATAAAATGAAAGATTTGTAGGCTTGTGATACAATTCATGGGCTAAAATTAGATACATAGACTTAAGAAATCTGAATACTTAGGGATGTCTCATCGTAGTCTAAATGTTTAAAAAATTTCTGATATAATTTTAATACTGTGGTTGAAAGATGATAAGTAAATCAGTAATAACTACAGCCTCTCCCATAGACTAGAATTATAGAATTAAAAAGAAAAATAAAAAGCAGTCCTTTTTATTTTGAAAGAACTCCAATTTTATTGTATAGAAATTATAATTATAATTAGAAAGTATAAAACTAGTAATGACATAATTAAAAAAAAACAAATAAATATATATAATATGTTAGCTAACCCATTTTTTAAATACACACACACACACACACACATATTAGTTGTAGTTGAACACAATACCTTTATTTTATTTTTATGTGGTATCCAGTACCTCAGGTGTGCTACGTGAACACTTAACCACTGAGCCGTAACTCCAGCTCAGTTAAACTATTTTTTGTCATTCAGTCTTTCTGGAGTAAAATTGTATAATCTGTAAGCTGTTAAAAGTGCCTTATTAGTTTTGGTACAAAAAATATATATATATATATATATATATATATATATTTGTATTTAGGAAAATCAGTGAAATCTATCTTCTAAGAATAGAAAGAAGGTAAAGAAACTCTTTTAGAATATACTTTAAAATATCAATTAAATATCAACAAATATCTTAAGTATGTTTCTGGAAGGCAAAATTATATTCCTGTAGAATATGCATCATTTTAGATGAAAATTCTTCATAAGTGAATATTAATGCTCTACCTTGGTACATAGATGCACCTGGATTCTGATTAAGGTAGTTTTGTAGAGAATGTTTAAAGCCAAGATATTGTTAGGGTTTCTTAGAGTAACATTAATTTCACTTGATCCACTGATAGAGCCCTAATTACTTAGGGAAGTGAAATATGGCATGTGTTTACACACTTTTCATAAATAATAATTTTTTATTTGAATGTTATGATGAAATTCAAACAGTTGGAGGTTATGCTCTTCAATGGAAGCCTCGAATGTTTTCATTTTCTTGATTAATAACAGACACAATCCCACTGAAGAAGAGATGAACAAGTATAATGGCTGACACTATTTCATGTGACTTGAAAAGACTGAATGGTATTTTATGGATAGAAAGTGAGTACTTCAAAGCCAATTTATTCACATTCTCACATTTATATATTTTCTGAAATTTGGTTTATGCTTCTCTCTTATACCTATCTCACTATTTCTGGAAACAAGGGATGAGGCAGGCATATATATAATGGGAATACATAAATAAATGTAATTGGTATACAAAAATAATGTGAAATATCATAAGACCAATCAATAACAATTTCACATGAAAATCTGCAGGTTTTTCATTGGGAATTCTTATGGGAAATTTTTAAAATATATTCTTAGAAAAACTGTATTATCAACCAGAGCTTGTATTCTTCAGTGTATTTCCTTTCAAAATCTTAAACTGCTACTAACTGGCATAGCTTTTACTAATTCTGAGAGCACTAATGTGGA